CATTAGCTTCCTGAGCTAACATGGAGCACATTAGCTTCCTGAGCTAACACGGAGCACATTAGCTTCCTGAGCTAACATGGAGCACATTAGCTTCCTGAGCTAACACGGAGCACATTAGCTTCCTGAGCTAACAACACGGTGCACATTAATGTCGATATGTTTGAATCACCGTATTTATACAGCATGATTAAACAGCATAGAGGTGAAAGATAAGCGGCATCACCAACGTAACCCAGAGTTGCTAACACGACGTTAGCTAGCCAGTTGTCTCATAGTAAAAGAAAAGTACCGTTTACCTCTTTGTGCAACTTCAAATGCCGAACAGTTGAAAGTTGTATCTCCATCTGAGATCCTAGTTTTGCAGGTTTTGCATGTTTCACTCCGTTTTTAGTTGGATATTTCATGATTGATGTACCCAAATGAAATTACTCACTGGAGCATATCTGCTTTGAGAGTTTTTCGTCTCTCGTTTTTTTCCCCCATTATTTTTAAATCCTGTTAATTTGATTAGTTGTGCTGCAGTTACGCACACATACATATGGAGTGTGGAAAAACAGAGGGACGGTCTATGCCTGTTAATACAAATGAGTGAAATTAATTAATGGGGCCACTTTATAAATAGCAGTGATATTTTCACATTTACTGTCAACTTTAAACATTTATTAACTCAAAAACACGACGGGCCGCTAGATGAATGACTGCCCTAGAGCCCAACCACTGGGCATAGCAAGTTTTCTGGGGAAAACCTTTCATCATAACACGCTGACAGAGAATACTCCTGAATCTACTCGCATCATGCTGACCCTGTAAGACTACCAAGGAAAGGCAAACGGAGCAAACTGCCCCCTGCAGGCAACTGTGCATACCTCTCTCCTGATCCCCTGGTTTTGCTCCGTTTTTAGGAAGTTGAGCAGCACTTCTAGAAGGGAAGGGTATTTGCGGTACGGTTCCACCACGTAGCCTGTACTCGCTACCTGCTGACCCAGAGTCCACAGCGCCACCTGGAGGAAAGCCAGAAACAGACAGCTGATGCTGCTGAACACAGCCAATTCAGGAGAATAATACAGGTGAAACATTGCAGGTCTAATTTGATTTGGAGAAGAGGAACATCATCTAAAAGCAATTTTAGTTCATTATTAAAATGCAACAAAAGGTTTGTGCATTCGCTGGTTCTCCATACTTGGCGTTTAGCCAATGAGGACGAGTCCTGCAGCATGTCCATGATGATTGGGAACAGCTCATCCATCCACTTCCTCATCTCCAGTCCGCTCACCTACACAATCACAAGAACATCACATCACAGATATCTTACAAATATCCCTGTTTTCTCAGCAGAATCCTATAAAATATTAAACAAACTTATGACTTTTTAGCAATCTAACTGCATGAAATGACAAAACCAAGTGGGAAAAGTTCCTGTTTCTTTATTTAGAGCCTGAAATTATTTTAAACCAGCCATCCAGGCCTTTGTTACTTTGTATTTCCCGTGTTTTCTGCCTGGTATTTCTGGCTTGTTGATTCATCAACAGGAGAGCCAGTTGCAAACACTCTGTATATGAACGTCTCCTGCACTGCAAAACAAGCTGGCCTCTAACAATTCTATCCTGACTCATCTGGGAGAGCCTTTTAAACACCTAGACAGATGGGGGTAAGAAGGACACTACTTCTTATTTTTTTACCTTATCCATCTCCATACAGGCAGACTCTATGTAGACGTATTCATCATGTATGATTGTGTGTGTGTTTAATACTCCTCCTAAAAGATTTTAGCATGAAACTGAACCGATACCGTTACCTGGGCCAGCTCGCCAATTGTAGCGAGGACACTGATCACCACTCCAGGGTTGGGATCTGGATCTTTAAGCTTCAGAATTAGAGCCTGCAAACAAGAAAATGTAAGCAAATTCAAAACCAGAAAGATTTATCACAAACATCTGAAACATGTTTGCCTTTACTTATTTAGAGGAAGTGTACAGTGTAGAAAAACTGATATAAAAATGTGCCTTACACTCATAAATGACATTGAAAATTTGCAGAATATTACCTTGAGAATGGGTTCCATATAGGGTCGTATGAGGCGGGGTGCGTTGGAGACCAGGTGGCCAAGCATACGAGCGCTCTGCTCTTTGTTCCTGCCAACACCACTGTGTTCCAGTTCGGTTAAAATCTAAAAAATATCCACGCTTCTCATAAATTATTATGCTCTCTCTAAGTAAATGTTATGGTATGAAGTAAAACAACAAACTTCTGCTGTTCAACAAAAGGAAATTTGATTGCTTTACATGCAATATTATGGGCTTTGCTCCCCTCTAAAGGTGTCCGTGAGACAAAATGCAGCAGAATTATATTTGATTGGAAAAGCTACATAGCCTTTTTTAAAGTAAAAAATATATGATTATTTATAATCATAGTTGTAAATATGTACTCCCCCCTATAAAATATAAAAGAATAATCACATTAGGAAGCCTTCTGGAAATCATTCACATGCAATTTGAACAAAGTTTTCTCATTTTATTTTTAGATTTTCCATTACAAATGGTGCCCTCTAATTATTCACATTTTGCTATTTTCAAAATATTTTTATTATTTTCTATAGGGGTTAAGTGTTTGAAATGATTTGATGTGAAACATTTTTCTACTTTGTAAAAACAATGTTACCACTTGAGAATAAAAAGCTTTGGTTTCAAGGATAGACAAAGTTCTGATTAATAACTTGTTGACATCTGGTCTGCACTTCTTTAGTTAGTTTTTAGACCAAGTCAGTCTAAAAGCTGGTTAGCAGGAAAGTGTAACTTTTACATATAAGCAACAGTTTACAGTTGGAAAATCAGTCTTTCTGGAAACAACTGCTTTTCCTAGTCTGTATGTTTTTGCTGCATCCCTAAAAAACAGCAAAACAAAAAACAAAACACAAAAAAATCATATTTTTAAATTGCAAGAATTAAAACAAACACTGAAAAAACTCATTTAAACCGAAAAATAAAATGTGGCAAACAGGATCAGTTAAAAACCTGGATGTCTTTCAATGCAGCTGTAAAAGTCACAATAAAAAAAATCCAATATGTAATTTTACATTAAAGAGTCCTGAGTGTAATTTGCAGTTTATCAAGTACAATTTTCTCCTTCTGGCTTTCCAATTTGTGAGGAGAAACAAAAAATCCAAATGAACCCAGAGTATAAAAGCTGCTGAAATGTTTTCTGCTAACGGTCCTCCAATGATGCTAACTCCTGATAAAGAGGTGAATGGCTGACATGAAGCCATCTGTGGGCGCCTCTTACCTGGATCAACATCTTCCGGAGGAAGGGCATGACGAAGGCAGGGTTCATGCTGCTCAGCCGTCCTATAGTGCAGATGGCCAGCTCTCTGATTTCAAACACTTCGTCGTTCAGAGCCACAAACAGAGCCTGCAGATTCTCAGCCTGGGCCAGGTGCGCATCAAAACGCTCATCAAGAGACGCAAGAACACAGTATCGAATGTCTGGATCTGCAGGAGAATCAGAACAGAAAGTAGTTGTGGGTTTTTACCGTAGTGTCACGTTTCCAAACAGAAGGTTGCTCATCAGAAATGAATGTTTATGCGTTTTACAAGTCAATCGTCACACCTGGATCAGTGATGCCAACCACCAGCAGCTTGCTGAGCACATCTGCGACCACCTGCACAGCAGTCTGGCTGACGACGTGGCCGCTGATGAGATGGATGGACGGCGTAAGAAGTCGAGAGCAGGTTCGGGCCGCCTCCATTCGGATTTCCTTATGTTCGCTGTTCAAGAAGTGATCGGCACAGTGGCGCACAAACTGAGTCAGGGAGTGACCTGGACCCAAAGAACAGAATCAATTACTGCAACAATTACTAATGATTACTAATTAGTAATGATTTATTTGGTTTTATAAGGTAACTATTGATTCTATGGACAAATCCTTGAAAATATAGCTTTTCCATCACTGATCCAAATTTGTAAAGAAAGTGATAACTTCCAGTATCAATAAGTTTAAGAAAAAAGCATAAACAGCAGACTACATCTCCTGAGGAGACTCGGGTCCTTCGGTGTGCGGGGGGCTCTTCTCAGGACCTTCTTTGATGCTGTGGTGGCATCAGCCGTCTTTTACGGAGTGGTCTGTTGGGGCAGCAGCATCTCCACTGCTGACAGGAAGAGACTGAACAAGATCCTCAGGAAATCCAGCTCTGTCCTGGGGTGTCATGTTGACCCAGTGGAGGTGGTGGCAGACAGGAGAATGAGGACTAAGCTTCAGCGCATGCTGGAGTACCTGTCCCACCCCATGCACCACTCTCTGACAGCACTGAGCAGCTCCTTTAGTGCCCGGCTGCGGCACCCTAAGTGCGTGAAGGAAAGATACCGCAGGTCTTTCCTTCCGGCAGTCCGTCAGACTGCACAACACCCGCTGCTCTCAGTAGTTCACTACTCTCCACTACAAGCAATAAACCTGGAATGTATTTATTTATATTATATTTCAGTATTTCTATATTCACTTGTATTTTTTTGTACATATAGATTTTATATTGGTTCTGCTCTGTCCTCTGTACTGCTGTAACAATGTAAATTGACTTAATCTCAACACAATGTAGGGATATTGAGTTCTATTGAATAGTAAAAAGTTTGAAATATAGGGATATTATTTTTTTAACAAAATTTTAAATGAGGCCTACCTTATTTAAAGAGAAACTCACTCCAACGACTTTTCTGAATAAATAGACTAAATAATCCACCTCGTTTATGCCAATATTGCTCACCATCGCTCCTTCTCAGTCTACGCCAAACTACGCCCACACACACTCGAGCCCAAGGAAAGTCCATCCTGATTGGATGAAGCCTGTGGCAGCGGGCTGGCCCTGGGCTAACCAAAATGAGCCCCAATTAGCCACAAACCGAGAGGGCGTGGCTAGACGCCTGTCAATCATTCTGAGCCATGACAGACAGTAACACTGAATGGCACTGTCAGACGTTAGCCCTTCGGAAAGACCCTGGGATTTTCCCCTGGTGGTTTGACACCAGGTTTGTTGAAAATTCAACAAAATGTGATGCATTATTTATAAAATGTATTTATTTTTAGGTTGTTTATTTTAACAACTTTATAGTAAATTTCAGGGAGGGCTCTGCTCCTGCTGTTGGATCGCCCCAAACACTACTGGTAGTAATATTTCAAAGACAGAGCTTCACATCTGCTCCACCCGCAGTGAACTCATCTGCTAAAAGCTACAGCAGGTAACTTAAACAAATACAAACAAAAAAAAGATTTTACATATGTATTAAAACTTTTGCTATGTAATAACATAAGATAGATAATCTCTGGGGGAAAAAATCGATCTGCCTCCTCCTAGCATTCTGCAGAATTACTCCGCTCAGTCAGAAACAACCAATCAGAACCAGCATTAATCAGCTTGCTGTTCTCTCAGGAAGTTTTGATTCAGTAACTCGGAATTGTTTATTTTGATGCAACCTGCATTTGACTTTGAATGAACATTTATTTTTTCTTGACATTATTTGAGATAGGCAGTGTTACTCATGTATAATTTAAGCTGTTGAGAGCCTTAATATTAAATATTATTTTACTGACTGCAGGTTTTTCAGTTGTCCTTTTGACTGAATAGCTGCTGTATAGTGCCTGCAAATATTTTGCATGTTTATGTCTAAATTAGGTGAAGTTATTGCCAGATAATTTTTCCATTTTGTGAGATCATATTGCACCACTTATACCTAAAGCGAAAAATTAACAGCCAATCCAGGCGAGTGGCAGATATCAGTGATCGGCCTCATGGGTGATAGTTCGTATACTCCAGATAACAACTGACCAATTACAGTTGACAATTATTTCAATAATCGACAGATCAAGAATGATTGTTGTAGCCCTAGTCCCTTTTTTTTAAATCAAATATAAGCATTTACTATATGAATTTACAGAACATACTTTAAATATGAAACCAGCAAAAATCCGCAAACCATTGGGACAGAAAGACAAATGGACTAATGGACAAGTGGACAAATGAGATAATTGAAAGTCGGATGGATACTAAAAAATACTACAATACTTAAATCAAATTCCACACCTTAAGGGACTTTTTCCAAGACAATGAAGGAAGTCCTGAATGACTTCAAAGGTGCAAAAAGAATCGGAGGAAATTATTTTGGTGTCAGAGATTGTTACCTTCGAATTCAAAGCTTCCCAGAGTGCGCAGGGCTAAAGTGATGCTGCCGACGTCGCTGGCTTCAGGGATGTTGGTGAGGCTGGGAGAGGCCAGCTGGTGAGCCAGGCCTTTGGGCATGCCCGGGTGTCGCAGGGGCTTGTGCATCAGCACCAGGGAAAGCATCTTCAGCAAGCCGTCCTGGATGTCTTTTTTCAGCTGGGGGATTTGACGGCTCAGGTCGTACAGCACTGCTGTGAGTGCCGGGCTAAAGAGAAAAACTAAAATCTGTGAGATTGTGTTGAAACCCAAACATAAACCCCATGTGTGTCCTACGTTTGGTACCTGAGCCCCACGGCTAACATGGGCTCTAGGAGCTCCTTGATGTCTGGCTGGATGCTGGGGCCCATGGCTCTGGACAGCATGCTAATGCAGGTGAACACAGTGGCATCCACCTGAATGGTCTTCTGCCTTCTGCAGAGGTCAAAGGTCAAAAAGCAACATTGTCATTCATTATTTTTCCATCAACCTACCCAAATACAAAATGGTCAGTTTTTCTTCTTTTAAATACTAAGGTGACTTTTGGGGAATAATTGAGAAAACGTACATATTTAGAGATAGATTTATATTGGGACACCCCTAAATATAATCACTCTTAAATTGAAACAAGTGTTGGATAAAATCTGTATCTGCAGGCTTTATAAAAACTGGAGTTTAAAAATTTGTCACAATATTTGCATGTCTAGTAAAAAAAAAAAAAAAAAAAAAGACAGAAGAAATTGTTTCCAATGACTGACTTGTGAGCAAAGTCCTTGGGAGGCAGAGCAGCCTTGATGATCTCCAGAATCTTCATGAGGTACGGCTGGATTTCCGTCCTGACAGCCACCACCAGCAGCCCCAGAGCCTGGAAAGCCGCCGTCCTCTCCTTCTCCTTCTTCAGGCAGCCCAGCAGGTAGCCCATGGTGTCAGACAGGTACTGGTCTGCCAATTAGAAAGCACATCATTACAAACCAAACACAGAAAAACAAGGGATTTGACCCTGAATGTCCCACCTGTGAAAGTATGTGGCTGGAAGGCAGCCAGACGTGGCAGCAGGTTAAGGATGGTCATCTGAATCAGAGGGTTCTTACTGGTTTTATACTTCAGAACCCAACGACACACCTGATTGAGGCAAAGCACATTTCATTACAGACGCACAAATATCTGTCATCAGTCTTGATACTGAAAAATCTCTAGATCAGGTATCTGTGGCAATGTGCTCAATACATAAGGGCAGATCTATTTAGTCTAGCTCTATGCTTTGTGCTCTGAGCGGTCATAATTTATTAATTATCTTACATTATATTTAGCATTTTCTGAACCATTTGAAAGGAGGTTTGTAGTTATAGTTTTGTTGTAGGTTTGAGGTTGTAGTTTATTTTTACATGTTTGACCAAGATGGTCTAACTTTTGTTTTTAGTCAGTTTCAGTTTCTTTATTATGTATTTTCCATTGGCTGTTATTCTGCTAACTGGGCTGACTGATCAAATTAAAGGCGTTTTCCATGTTAGCTTGTGAAGCTGTTGGTGTGGATCAGTGAGCTGTACTGGTTATCAAATAAACTAGTAATTCAGTATATTTATGTCTAAGTTTAAAAAAGAAACGTTTTATTCTTAGTCTTTTCCTCCTGCTCTCAGTGAAGGCGGATGCTTTTTTCCTCCGCTCCCTTCCTGCCCTTGCATGCCCTGCTTGCTCTGTTTTTGTGCTGTCTTTTTCTCTATTTTTGGAGCCTTCCTTTGCACAGCCTCCAAATCTACAAATTATGGATCGGGTCAACCGGTCTCTCAATGCAATTGACAGTGGCGCTGTGGGAATTTTTTTCTCTAGTCAGCATTTTATGTACTTAACAGCTGTTTGTGTATGAAATGATCAATAACAGAAGACGAAGAAACTCGCCCGGACACGGGTCACCGGGGCCCCACTCTGGAGCCAGGCCTGGAGGTGGGGCATGTTGGCGAGCGCCTGGTGGCCAGGCTTTTACCCATGGAGCCCGGCCAGGCTCAGCCCGAAGAGGAAACATGGGTCTCCCTTCCAATGGGCTCACCACCTGTAGGAGGGGCCAGAGGGGTCGGGTGCAATGTGTGATGGGTGGTGGCCGAGGGAGGGGGCCCTGGCGGTCCGATCCTCGGCTACAGAAGCTGGCTCTTGGGAAGTGGAATGTCACCTCTCTGGTGGGGAAGGAGCCGGAGCTAGTGTGTGAGGCTGAGAGGTTCCGGCTAGAAATAGTCGGTCTCGCCTCAAAGCATGGCTCTGGTTCTGGAACCAGTGTCCTAGAGAGGGGCCGGACATACTTCCTCTCTGGAGCTGCCCACGGTGAGAGGCATCGGGCAGGAGTGGGCATACTTGTCGCCCCCCATCTTGACACCTGTAAGTTGGGGTTTACCCTGGTGAACAAGAGGGTAGCCTCCCTCCGCCTATGAGTGGAGGGGACGGGTCCTGACGGTTGTCTGTGCTTACGGGCCGAACAACAGTTCAGATTACCCACCCTTCTTGGAGTCCTTGGAGAGGGTACTAGAGAGTGCCCCTCCTGGGGACTCCCTTGTTCTGCTGGGGGACTTCAACGCTCATGAGGGCAATGACAGTGAGACCTGGAGGGGCGTGGTTGGGAGGAACGGCCCCCCCGATCTGAACTTGAGTGCTGTTCTGTTGTTGGACTTCTGTGCTCGTCACGAACTATCCATAACGAACACCATGTTCAGGGATAAGGATGTCCATATGTGCACTTGGCACCAGGACACCTTTGGCCACAGTTCGATGATCGACTTTGTCATCGTTTCATCGTATCTGCGGCCGTATGTCTTGGACACACGGGTGAAGAGAGGTGCAGAGCTGTCCACTGACCACTACCTGGTGGACTGCCTCACTGGCCTCAGGGATGTTGGTGAGGCTGGGAGAGGCCAGCTGAATGGTCTCTGGTGGTGAGTTGGCTCAGGTGGTTGGGGAGGATGTCGGACAGACCTGGCGGGCCCAAACGAGTTGTGAGGGTCTGCTGGGAACATCTGGCAGCTCCCTGTGAGACGAAGCTTTAACTCCCATCTCCGGCATAACTTTGAACACTTTCCGGGGGATGTGGAGGACATTGAGTCTGAGTGGACCATGTTCCGTGCCTCCATTGTCGAGGTGACTTATCATTGCTGTGGCCACAAGGTTGTCGGTGCCTGTCATGGCGGCAACCCTCGAACCCGTTGGTGAGGGATGCTGTCAGGCTAAAGAAGGAGTCCTATCTGGACTTTTTGGCCTGTGGGACTCCAGAAGCAGCTGATGGGTACCGGCAGGTGAAGCGGCATGCGGTTCAGGTGGTTGCTGAGGCAAAAACCCAGATGTGGGAGGAGTTTGGAGAGGCCATGGAAAAAGACTTCCACACGGCTTCGAGGCGATTCTGGTCCACCATCCGGCGTCTCGGGAGGGGGAAGCGGTGCAGCACCAACACTGTTTATAGTGGGGATGGCGTGCTGCTGACCTCGACTCGGGACATTGTGGGCCGGTGGCCAGAATACTTCGAAGACCTCCTCAATCCCACCAACATGCCTTCCATTGAGGAAGCTGAGCCTGGGGTCTCTGGGTTGGGCTCTCCAATCTCTGGGGACGAGGTCGCTGAGGTGGTCAGCGGCCTCGGTGGCAGGGCCCCGGGGGTGGATGAGATCTGCCCGGAGTTCCTTAAGGCTCTGGATGTTGTAGGGTTGTGTTGGTTGATGCGACTCTGCAATATTGCATGGACATCGGGAGCAGTTCCTCTGGACTGGCAGACTGGGGTGGTGGTCCCCCTGTTTAAAAAGGGGGACCGAAGGATGTGCTCCAATTACAGAGGGATAGTCAAACCTCAGATTCAGGAAGAGCAGTGTGGTTTTCGTCCTGGCCATGGAACACTGGACCAGCTGCAAACCCGGGAACCGACCCCGGATAAGCGGAAGAAAATGAATGGATGGATGGACTACGCAGCCGCGGTGAGCTGCTATCAACCCACATCTTTTTAAAGACACGGGTTGATAGCAGCCCGCGTCTTTAAACGGGGGGAAGGAGGAGGGTGCCGATGACATGTTCCCATACACCTCAGAAAGTATGTAGCTGCACCCTTGGCAATTGATCAAATTTTCTCCACGAGAAGACTGGGCACAGGAGAGCCCTCTTGTCCTGCAGGGTCACACCCGGCAGGATACAGTCTGGATTTATTCATAACAGGATTTCTGCTGTTTGGAGCTTGTGGATTCCTGGCTCATCGACAAATTTGTGACGGACTTGGCCAAAGGTAAGGTAAGGTAATTTTATTTATATAGCACATTTTCAGCAACAAGGCAATTCAAAGTGCTAAGGGCCGAACTAGTGAACACTCAGTCTGTTGGTGTGGACAGAGACGCAAGTTGGATGCGAATCTTGCGGAGACTCGCAGCCAAGCTGAGGACTCCAAAACTCACAAACGGAATGGAATTGATCTTGGAGAAGTTACTAGTTTCAGTTCAGTGGAACGGCCACACTAATTTGGATAATTGGGAACTGACATGTATCGGAGAGACTTTATGGGAGATTAAAATTTATAATCTACCCGACCTATACATTTTGTATCTGAATTGGCTTTCCCATGTTGCCTTGGAAGGGCTCCATATTTCCAATCTCCTTGAAGATATGTAAACATAATGCAGCTGTGGAGCTGAGCACTCCCAAGGACATGCCTTGATAACATCTTATCGGACTTCTGCCAGGAGGCTGAGCAACGTGTTTTTATGGCCCTGTGATGTCACCGCCTTCACTCATGTCTTTGTTTTGTCCATTGTTTTGTTTTGTCTGAATGTTGCTATGTGCCCTAATGTGTCCTTTCCTCTTTTTATTTCATTTCCCTTTTACTATTTAGAAACTGTGGAGTATTCACTTTTAACCCAGAAAAGGAAATAGTCACTCTTTAGCTTAATTTTTTTTAGAAAATGTAGAGTACTCACTATTTAAACCAATATTATACTTCTTAGATTAATGTTTAGATTATTATGCAGAAAGACTCCTATTACTGCAACCCAGAAAAGGAATTAGAACAAACTTAGAATCCAGAAAATAATTTTCCAGAACAGGAACATTTAGTTTTTATTATTACTTAGAAACTGTGGAGTACTCATTACTTTTACAAATTTAGAGCATACATAGAAAGTCCAGAGAATCCTTACTTATACTTATCCAGCAACGCAGAAGTTCAGGAGATATTTATACTTACTTAAACTTACTTAGCAACCCAGAACAGGGATTAGAACAAACTTTGAATCCAGAAAAACTACCTTAGCGTCTACATTTTAGACTCCTATTCTTCCAACCCAGAAATGGAATTAGACCAGAGGATACTTACTTATACTTATCTACCAACCCTGAATAGGAGTATCTAGTTTATATACTTTGATCAACATTATTAGACTAATTTTTAGACTCCTGTTCTTCCAACCCAGAAATAGAATTAGACCAGAGGATACTTAGCAACTATGAACAGGAGCAACTAGGTTACATACTTTAGGTCAACATTAGATTATTTTTCTTCTTTTCCTCTTTCCTTTGGTTTGTTATTTTGTTTATATTCATGTAAAGCACTTTGTATTGCCTTGTTTCTGAAAATGTGTTATATAAATAAAATTACCTGTACTTTTACCTTAATCAGTTCAGCTGATTTTCCATATCAGATCGGTATGAGCTGATACTAAACCTCAGGTATCAATATGGCAAGTGAAACAGGTGGACCGCTGCGTCTCTATGTTTCACATGTTGAAACCAGTAGAACTGTGTTGGTATTGCTCTGTCTGGTGTGACTCCCACCTGGTCGAATCTTTCCTCCATCAGCTCTCGGCAGTACCGGCTCTCCACCAGGGAGCTCTTGGCAGGTACCGGCGTGGCGCCGAAGCCCAGGAAACTTTGCGGCGTGCTGTAGCCTAGCAACCCCAGCAGGGCGTTGGACTGCTGTGGCTGCACTGACTGGAAGCTGGTGAAGGGCGTGATGTGGCGAGGCTTTGTTCCAAATCCCATCAGCTCCTTGCAGTATTTATCGTGAACCAGCTGCTGCTGGGTGATCTCCTCCATCTCTTCGCGCATTCGCTGCAGAAGGGAGAAAAACTTAGCTTGTTGACACAAACCGAGCATCTGGAGGGAAATACCAACTCACCTCTCCCTCCATGCTGCTGATCCGGACCAACTCGTTAAGGATCAGCAGCGCACCATGAACTCTATCGTCACGATTCATCCCCTTCTCCTTGGCCAGAGTCTCATCAAAGCCTCTTTCTGCCTCTTCAAAGGTTTGCTGTCCCACAAAACACAAACACTTACAGCTGCACTGGCTAACTACCATCAAAAACAGGCATTTTACATTTTTATTAAAACTGTCAACATGTTATGACAGTGTAATATGAGACAGGTAATCTTTGAAAAAACTGAGTTTGTCCACCTCTTCCCTGAGCTACTATTGTTGTCCGAAGAAATACAGCGCTCCAAATCAAAAACAACCAATCACAGTCAGGATTGAGGTTTAAGCGCTGTCAATCAATCATGTGTAAGGGCTGCCCAATGTGCTAATGAAACAACTTACTGTTCCAGGAGAAGTGTTTATCTACCGTCACTGGTGGCTATGCTAACTAGCCTTAGCATTCACAACAGGCTCTGCTGACGGGGAGAAGCTGTAGTGTAGCCGAGAAAGCAGACTGTACATGAGGATGATTGCCAGCACTAAGACTCTGATTGGTTGTTTCTAGTTAGCGTTAACAGAGAAGCTCAATTTTTTTCACAAATTATCTCCCATAGCATCAACAAATATAAAATAAAAACTACATTTTGCAGCTTTAACTCCTACTGCTTAGCAGAAAAACCTTCCACCCCAATATTTCAGAGATTTTTTCAGCTCAAGTCAAAGCCTTACTTTGTACCACTGAGGCTTCTGCATTTCCTTGGTCTCTCTCTGCGTGGTGAGGATGAGACAGGCCCGCAGAGCAGACACCGCTCCCTCTCGAATGGCCTGCTTCGGATCCCACACCGCGTAGAAGATGTTGTCGAAGAAAGGCTGCACTTGCTGAAAGAAGAAGGTTGGCGCGCTCACAGCCAGCTCCCTCAACACCAACACCTGGAGGAGATGCAAAGCCGCTCGATCCGTCACTGCTTTCCAGTTTAGAAACTGACACACAGCTGTCACAAAAAACACTATAGCAATGTTGAAGAAGGGTCAAGTTTTTCAAGGCAGCAAAATATGAATCTAAAAAGTACACAGACTTCAGGAACTTCAAAGTTAATGTCTGGCTTCTTCTTTTGCAGAATTATGACGCACATCTCACATCAATGACGGAAAAGTTGGATGATTGTGACATGACCGTTTTGACTACAGAGGCTTTGAAAACAATGGGATGTACATCCAGGTTAGGACGATTCAGATGGTTGTTTAAAAACATTTCTATAAACTATGAAAAAGGCATAATATAGGTCAACAATATAGAAAACAGAGCAAGGAGAATAAACGACTTCAACACTAAACACATTATTAAAACTCAAGAGAGCAATGGCAGTCATAATTTATATGGTGTGATCTGCCCTCACATCCCCTCTAACAGGTCCAGGTATTTGAACAACAAACACAGTCAAGTGTTGACGGACAGTGACTTACCGCTGCATGGCGTCTCCCTTCATTCCTGTCGGCTCCCAGCCACTCCAGAGCCCGCTTCACCTCAAACTCCACATACTCGGCAGTAAACGTGTCTCCGGCCATCGACAGGTGGCCCATGGCTTTAGAGGCCATCTCCATAACCACTGGATCACTGGAAGGGAGCAGGTTACGGAGGTAGTTGGCAAATCGACTGATCCTGGTGGCATTGCCTCCCTCCACTCCGATCAGACTCACTGGAAAGAAACGGCCAGCATCAGATGCTGATTTCCAACAAAGCCCAGGTTCATAATCACCTGAGTGAGAAGCTTGTGCCTGAAGCTTACCTATAGCAAGGATGCCGCCTTTCTTCTCATTCACGTCAGAGCTGGATACCAGCTCAAATATGTGGTGGTTTAACTCATCGTAGAATGTTGTGGCTTCATCTTGGCTCAGCTGTGGCACAAAAACCATACAACATATAAATGGACTCTTAAGACACCACTGCCATGGTGGTACAAGTGCTGGAACTGTGGAGATTAGAAAATCATGACTAAATTACACAGCTGGTTGCTAAGACGACAATAGTAAGCTGTTTATAGCTATGGATTTGTCAATAGAAATAAACTTTATTTATGGCTACTGTGAGTAAGTGTGAGTATCTATTGCGATGAAACTCCATGCATCAGGCTGATTACATTACTGGCATCCAAAGAGTGAATTTACTCCACCTGTAATAAGACAGGTCAAGTACATGTAGCACATTTTAGCAACAAAGAACTTTATACCATAAAAAGATAATACTCTAACCAATTATGAAACAAGAAATAAACATTACGTTTTGTCTAATGTCCTCATTAGACAAAAGCTGATGGAGAACATGCTGTGCATTTTTAGTAAGCTGACCCAAAAAGGACAACTACAGTGTTTTGCTGTTTAGGATTACCAGTTTGGCTGTTTGGAAATAGGTCAAATCGTACAAGACAAGTAGAGTCGAACTAAAGGAGCATCACTCATTGCTCTTGTTAAAGCAACACCGTCAGTCAACTGTTACTACATACATATAGATTTCTCAGTTTGGTAAATCACTTCCTTTATTTAGCATTTTATTAGAATTAAACATATAAACATTACATTAGTATAAGTGCAATAACAGGTTTTAGCATCAGAAGAAATAAATGCTGATCATTTGTTTTGAATAAAAAACATCAGATCATGCTTCAAGCCTTGTACACATAGCCGGATATTTATAAAAACGAACATTTCCCCCACATCATTTTAAAGAATAATATCGTAAGTTTTCATCCACATGGACCCATAAATCCACCCCTGAGCAAGCGTTGTTATAAACATGCCAAACCCAAACAGGGCTGTATGTAGCTAAAAACTACATCAGCCAATCAGAATCCTTCAAAACACAAAACACGACTTCCTGTTAAGAACTAAATATGGTGCCAGGGGGTTCATTTGTGTGGACAGATATATAGACTGGACTACTTTTAAAGAGTGTTTTAGAATATGAAAATAATAAAACACAAGATATTGATTGGAAGTCATGTCAAAGCAAGTACTATGTGGATACATTGTCGCAGTCTGTAATGTACAGAACCATAATTCTCCGTTTGTACACACACGATTACAGAGCTTTCTCAAATCTCCAATTTGGTCTGAGTTTTCATAAATAATAATGTTTAGTGGTATAAAACAGAGCTTTTGTGTGGATGAAAGGCCAAAAAAAATTATTGTTTTTTCCCAGATATCCAGCTACGTTTTGACAGGGCCCTAGATGTTTATTTTAAATATTTGTGGTAATTTTCCTCAACATTCGCAAAGAATGTCACATTGGACCTGTTTGCTTGGAGTATTACCATCAACAAATAAAACACTAAAAAAAGTCATTTATAATATCAATATTGCAAATACCTACTATGTGATGGCAATATATTTATAATTCATTACCAACTAATATTGCAGTTTGTATTACAGATACCGCAATGTTACATGCTGGATGTCTGTAGTTAGATGAGCACACATTTGGTTTAAATTTATATTATTTTGAAGCAAATGTCATCATGTAATATTGAATGGCACCCACCGCTGAGAACTGAACATTTTGTTCATGTCTGAGATGTCTCTGTGTAAACATAATATGTGTGTGTGTGTGTGTGTGTGTGTGTGTGTGTGTGTGGTACCTCTCTGAGCTCCGTGGTGACATAGTGCTGCAGATCTTTGGCAGATTTTGCTCTAGTGTCTTCATTTCTGCTCTTCAGCCCGCTGACAAACTGCTGCAGCACAGTGGCTGTCCCTGACATGATCACCATCGTTTTATCTGGAAATAAGTAACACGGGAGAGGTGCCACATCATTATAGGCAAGTCCTATTACTGTGTTAATAGGACTTACCCTTTAACGAGGCAAAACGAATATGCACGAGACATTCATAAAATGGGAATGAATGGGCGGAATGTTATAAATGAGAACACAACTTATGTCGTTTACAGACAGCTAGCAAGCTAACGAGTTAAGTTAGCAAGGGAATTACCCCTTAAGGTTTGTGGACAGTTATAAACATTACAAACAATGACCTTTGCTTGCTTTAAATAGTTACGTTACGTTACTAGACTAGCTTAGACACTTACAGGCACTGTAGCTGAGGCAAGACAGGGTCATGCTTGTTTTGTTTAGCTAGCTTTAGCCCCGGTGCTAATGCTAAGCTAGCTCATGTAGCTCCTACAGTGCGCAGAGCAGCAACCCTCTGAGTTACTTACGTGTTTGTATTAATATGCTGGACGGCCGCTTAAATACTACTAGGATTATCCAAGGTATTTCTCATTGTATTACTAATAGCCTTGGACAGCTCACGGTGACTAACAGAGGTATGTCTGTGTTGGAGCGACTCCAAAGTAATGCACAAGGGAAAGCCCTCACAAGGGTTCAGCTGCGCAAACTGCGCAACTAAAGCTTCATGAAGTTTGACTTCTTCTTCTTCTTCTGATTTTATTGGCGGGTGACATCTAACGTTAAGATGTATTATCGCCATCTGCTATGCTGGAGTGTGGACCAGAGTATCTCCCTTTATTCTAAATTCTCATAAATAATCCTGTTTCCTTCAAAAAATTAATAACTTTATTTATGTTTATTTAATATCTTATTTAATTTTAATGTCTCTATATCATATTTCATAATTTCTCGCCTTAGCTTCTCTCTACTTGCTGCGTACTTTTCACAATGAATTATTACATGTTCTACTGTTTCCATATCCCTACCACACTCACAACTACCTGTTGGATGTTTCCCTATCAAATGTAATGTTTTATTTAATCCGGTATGTCCGATCCTCAATCTTGTAATTACTACTTGTTCTTTTTTCTCCAATTATTTCCATATTTCCTACTTTCTTTTGTATATTAAATAAATTACAACCTTTAGTTCCTTCCTCCCATAATTGTTGGCATTCAGATTTAATTTTTCTCTTAATTGATTTTATTTCAGATTTACAATACGCTATTTCCATAATTCCATTTTGTTTTAAAGACTCTTTAGCTAAATGATCTGCCATGTCATTCCCTTCTATGTCTTTATGACCAGGTACCCACATAAACCTAATCTTTATTTGAATTTGTGTTATTCTAAATAATATTTCATAAATTTCATATACTATTTCCATACGACTTTCAGATGAACTATTTAAAATGGACATTAATGATGATAATGAATCTGAACATTTTAAATTCTATTTTGTTCTATCCACTGTAAGGCCATCAGGATTGCTAACATTTCCACTATATAAACAGATAAATAATCAGATGTTCTTTGCTTCTTAAATATACCTAGTTCAGGAATAACATAAGCAAATCCTGTTTTATTTGAACCTAAATCTTTTGAGCCATCTGTATATATAACTGTAAAGGATTTATATATATTCCTAATTCTGTTATTCACAAAATTTTCCCAATTATTATCTTTATTTATCTGCATTTCTTTGTAAACTTCTAAATCTACATTCAAATATGGAAATAGCCAATAAGGTGTAATTGGATAAGGCACTGCAGCAGAGTACGTCTTTCCCTGTATACCTATTTCCCTAGAGCATTTATCTGCTGCCCAGGCAAAACAGTCTATTTTAGCTTTATCACTCTCCCAGCAAGGTCTCAAAGTTCCTACTGCTGTATTATTTTCCTCCTTATGTCCCTGCAAACTTACCCAATAATTCAGCATAATTTGCTTTTGCCTTAAATATAAAGGAATCTCTCCCATTTCTACCTGCACTGCCAAAGATGGAGATGTCTTCAAAGCTCCACAACATAATCTCAAAGCTTGATTCTGAATAACTTCTAACTTACTAATCACTGTTTTTGCAGCTTGCCCGTAAACTACACATCCATAGTCCAAAACTGATCTGATCAAAGCAACATAGATCTTTTTTAAATTAATTTTATTTGCACCCCAATCTAATCCTGTTAAACACCTCATTATATTTATAACTTTTTTATATTTCCCTTCAGTATACTTTATATGATCACTCCATAAAAGCTTAGAATCAAATATGATTCCTAAAAAACCAAATTTACTCACTTTTTCTATTTTTTCCCCATACATTTTTAAATCTATTTCCTCAATTTTCTTCCTACCGAATACAACAGTCTTTGTTTTACCTACTGAGAATTTAACTTCCCAGTTATAAGCCCAATTTTCAACAGATTTAATAGCTTTTTGTATTTTCTCATACACCAATCTTACATTTTTCCCTTTCCTCCACAAGGCTCCATCATCAGCAAATAATGACTGCATGACATTCTGATCTACTTCTGTAAAAACGTCATTAATCATGATTGAAAATAATAAAGGACTGATTCCATTATCAATTTTATATTTATTGGATCTTTTTACTCCTAACTGTACCTGTATAACTCTGTTCAACAAAAAATCTCTAATCCAATTATAGGCCCTTCCTGTAATCCCCATTCTATATAATTTTATAAGCAACCCATCCTTCCATACCATGTCATATGCTTTCTCAATGTCAAAGAATATTGCTACCACTATTTCCCTATTAATTTGAGCTTTTCTAATATCTGATTCTAAACAGATAACTGGATCCATTGTACTCCTTCCTTTTCTGAACCCACTTTGACATGAAGACAGAAGTCCGTTACTTTCTACGTAGTATGTAATCCTTTCTGTTATCATTCTTTCCATAATCTTTCCTAAACATGAAGTGCAATTGGTCTATAACTTAGAGGGTTTGTTGGATCTTTTCCCGGTTTAATAATTGGCACAATAATTGCTTCCTTCCAATTAGATGGTAATCTTCCTTTTTTCCAGATCTTATTATATAAACCTAGAAGTTTTTCTTCAGCCTGACTCCCTAAATGTTTTAGCATAATATAGCATATCTGATCTTTTCCTGGTGATGTTAGTCCTGATCTCAGTATTGCTTTCTTCATTTCCTGCATAGAAAAAATAAACATCCATTACATTTCCTGGGTTTGCTCTGTCTTCTAAAATAACATTATTTGCCCTTCTTGTCTACTCCCTCCTAAATTTCCCGTGTTCTGTCAAGTTATCTGAACTATGAATTTTTGCAAATGTTCCTGCCATTACTTCTACTTTCTCTTCATTTGTTACTGCTATTCCTTCTTCATGTTTTAGAATTGGTTATGTCCTGTCCTGTCTATTTCCCTTCATTTTCTTAATCATTCCCCAAACATTAGCTTTAGGAGTTGTTCTGCCAATTGAATCACAAAAAAACTCTCCATTTTGTCCTCTTTGCCTTCTTAATAATTTTCTTTGCTTCTGCTTGATATTTTCTAAATTCAATTAAATTTTTAAAATTGTGTGTTTTCTTCAATATTCTAAAAGCTCTATTTCTTTTCCTTATTGCTTCACTACACTCTTTTGTCCACCAAGGCATCTCTTTCTTTTTGCTCTTACCTTCACTTACAGGAATTGTTATTTTTGCTGCTTTCAATATAACTTCCCTAATCTTTTCCTCTATACTCTCTATATCTAGATTTAAATTGACTTCCTCCATATATTTCTCACATATATATTTAAATATCTTCCATTTTGCCTTACTAAATATCCACCTTTCCTGCCTTTCT